AAGAGGGCCCCAGGAGGCCCCGAGAGGCCCCAAAGAGGCCCCAAGATGCCGCCAAGAGGCCCCCAAGAGGTCCTAGGAGGCCCCCAGGAGGCCCCCCAGAAGACTTCAAAAATGCCTCCCAGGCGCCCTCGAACGGCTTCTGAAAAGACCCCAAGAGGCCTCCCAGAGAAGCATCTTGACGACGACCCTGTTTGGCCCCAAGAGCAACACAAGATGCCAACGAGAGGCTTCTTCTTCCTCCTCGGCGGCGCCACAATGGCCCCGGGCCCACGGCGAAGCAGTAGCGATCATGCAACATGGGCCGGCGGAATGAGCGAAGCGATTGAATAAAAAGATTTCCCATGTTCTCCTATATCTTCTGGGTTTTTGTCCTCCCCCCCCACTTCCCATATTTTCCCATGTTTTCTTGGGAATCGACGATGAATTGTGTCTGTGTGTTTTTTCCCTCCTGATTGGAGCCCGCTTTAGGACCCGTCGGGCAGCGCCTGGCCCTCTTGCGGCTGCTTCGGAAGCCGCCGGGGGGGGCTCTATGAGGCTGCCTTGGGCTCCTCCTGGGCAGTCTTCGGGCCCTCGGGGGCCGTCGTGGGGCACTCGGCGGGGCCTCCTGGACCGTCGTGTGGCGACCTGGGATGGCCCCAGAGCCGTCTGGGTGCGTTCGTGGCCCGAGCTGGCGAGATGGCCCCACGCATGCGTTTGGCTCGCACGCCAGGGCGCCTGGCCCACAAGAGGCCCTCGTGAGCGTCGCCACTGCTCCAAAGCCAGGGCGGCCGGCCCACGGTGGGCCCACCGAGCAGGCAGAGGCCTCTGGCCCACCAGGAGGGGCGCCATCCCCGTGAGGGCCGCCACTTGTCCAAGTTCCCAGGGCGCCTGGGCCACAGCTGGCCCACGGAGCCTGCAGAGCCTCCCAGGCCTGCTGGGAGGAGCGGCACGTGTGTGTGTGAGTGTGTAAGTGTGTAAGTGTGTAAGTGTGTAAGTGTGTAAGTGTGTAAGTGTGTAAGTGTGTAAGTGTGTAAGTGTGTGTGTGTGTGTAAGTGTGTAAGTGTGTAAGTGTGTAAGTGTGTAAGTGTGTAAGTGTGTAAGTGTGTAAGTGTGTGTGTGTGTAAGTGTGTAAGTGTGTAAGTGTGTAAGTGTGTAAGTGTGTAAGTGTGTAAGTGTGTAAGTGTGTAAGTGTGTAAGTGTGTAAGTGTGTGTGTGTGGTTGCGTGTGCTCCTTCTCCCCCGTGCACCGCGGCGTAATTCGCACCTGCACTTGCATCCTACACCTGCTTCATCGCCAGCGCAGTGGCTCTGCCTAGCCGCCGACGCAGGAGTGTGTGTGTGTGTGTATGTGTGTGTCGCCACTTTTCTGGGATGGCCCTGGAGCCGTCTGGGGCGTTCTTGGCCTGGATTGGCGAGGGCATGGGAAACCTTCAAACACCAAAGGAACATCTATGATTTTGGCCTCGGGGGACCGTCATCGGGGCTCGGTTCGGCCGTTTTTGGAAGCACCTGGCCAGTCGTAGGGCCGTCTTGGGCTGTCATGGGGTTCCGTTCGGGTTCTCTTGGGCCGTCCTCGCGCGCTCCGAAAAAAAACAAGAGTCTTGCGGCTGCCATAGGCCGTCTTGGACATAGTACAGATGACGTTGGCCTCCACCGTGGCTTCGACCAACTCGCCGAGCAGAGATAGCGCCCACTGCCACTGCTCGCCCCTTCCACAAGCGCCGACAAGCGCAATGTATCCACCTGGGCCGATGGTCGCGCATTGTTGCGAGGCTTCCCGGAAAAAACGCAGCGCTGCGCTCCACGTCCTCGCCTTCCCAAACTGTTTGATGGCCGCTTCGAACTGGGAGCCACCTGGTTGGGATCCTCGCCAGGTTCCCCCGGCGGCCCTGAGCTGGACATGCATGAACCACAGCTTCGGCCAGGGACTTGGGCCAAAATGGTCAAGGAGCCTCGTCATTCATACCTCTCTCCATCCTCCATATCGCACACGTCGTTCCTTTCGAATCGTGCTCATTTCTGAATGTGCTCCCGTCTGATTGTTCCTGGCCCCCTGGTGGCCAGGAAGAGGCCCAGGATAGAACAGTTAGAAGTGGAAGGATCTTGGCCCCCCAAAAAATCAGAGAACCTTCGAAGACTTGGGAATGACCAGTACTTTGGGGGGGGGTCCTGGGAGTCTCCGGGGAGCCTGCGGGGACCGGCCCAGGGCGAGGTCCCTGCGACTTCTGCTTGCTCTCGCACGCACTGCGACTGGCACGTGTACAGTCTTCAGCCGGGCCTGTCCCCCTACAGGCAGATTTTGGACGAACAGTTAAAGATACACAAAACATGCCCCCCAAATAAGTCAGAAATAATCACACATCGTCCCGAGACTATCTCTTGATTAATTTTTTGATATTCCTCCTGTAGAAAGACAGGCCCGACTTAAGTATAGTCGGAGGCTGGGGTGAGATCGAAGTGGAACGGAGAGCCCCCTCACCGGGGATTCGGTGTCGGTTTCGGGTTCGTGTCGCGCGTGCGGGCGAGGCGACGCTGCCTGGGCGCGCAAGGGGGATGACTCCGCTGTGGCTACGGCGGGTCAAGACAAAAGACCGCCACTCCGGTGGGCAGGCGTGGCCGGCGGTGTCCCGCCGGGATGTCCCGCCGTGGTGTCCTGGTGGCCCGATTGTTGTTCCGATGGTGCGCTGGTGTTTACCAGCCTGGAACATATCCCTATCCCAATGCTGGGCACCTCCTCATCACGATGCCAATCTCAGGGATTCCCTTATTTTTTGAGGGCGGATCCCTAAGATTGTCATCGTCTTCTGGCGTGTCAATCTTGGGGATAGGGATACGTTCGAGGCTGGTAAGGTGTCCTGGTGTTGTACCGGTTGGCATTGGTGTCCCGATTGTGCCCTGGTTGTGTCCTGATGGTGCCCCGATGTGCCCCCAACGGTGCCCTGATGGTGTCCCGATGGTATGGCGGTGCCCCGATGGTGCCGCGCTCGTATCGAGGTGGTCTCCAGGATCGCCAGTGAGATCGATCAAGCAGACTTGGGGGGTGAGATCGAAGAGGACCGAAGGCGCCAAGCTGTTCACCACCACCACCCGGCACGGGGTCGATGGTGAATTCGATGGAACGAGAACGAGAATGGCATCGGTCACGTAGGATCGGGGAACTGAAATCGATTGGCAGACTTCGACGGGGACGTCGACCGCTCGGCCACGGGCTCGATAGTGAGATCGACAGGGGGAGATCGACGGGGCGACTCACGGTGAGATCGGCATCGGGGTCGACACAACCACCACCGCGATCATCGCACTCACCACCGCACTCGCCACCACTACGATCGCCACAAGCATCATCACACTCATCACCACACTCGTCACCACCATACTCATCATCACACTCCTCATCGCCACAGTCATCGTCAAAGGGGTATGGGGTCAAATAATTGCTACCATCTTTATCGCCATCATGCTTTTTCCGCCAGCATCTTCAGTATGCTAGCCCATTGCCATCATGCATTGTCGTCAGCTTCGTCGCCTTGCATCGTCGCGAACTTGTGAGCGCATCACCAACATCGCCACCATCATAATCATGGCAATCGTCCTCAGTTTTCCCCCCGAACCTCCTTATCCACCCGAAGGGTGGTCGTTATGGGCATGCCGTAGATGACGTTGGGCTCCACCTTCAACTCCCGCGCGCTGTCATTGCCAGCCTTTGCTGCACACGCTGGCAGTCGCAATGTGATGGCCTGGGTGGAGTTCCACACCTACTTCAGCCGCTTCGCAGAGCAAGCGCAGTGCTGCGTTCCATTGCTTTGTCTGGCCATACTTGTTTATTGCCACCTCGAGGGGAGCAACGCCTTCTCGAGACCCTCGCTGTGCTCAGAGCATCTAAGCAGAGCGCAACACATCTTGCACCGCGCAGGCTTGAGCCCGAATTTGTTTGAGCCAGAACGGCTCAAACAACTCCGGGCTGAAGGAGGAGGAGGAAGAGGAGGGGGAAGAAGAGGAGGAGGAGGAGGAGGAGGAGGAGGAGGAGGAGGAGGGGGAAGAAGAAGAGGAGGAGGAGGAGGAGGAGGAGGGAGTGGAGGGGGATGAAGAGGAGGAGGAGGAGGGAGGAGGAGGAGGAGGAGGAGGAGGAGGAGGAAGTGGAGGGGGATGAGAGGGGAGGAGGAGGAGGAGGAGGAGGAGGAGGAGAGGAGGAGCAGGAGGAGGAGCAGGAGGAGCAGGAGGAGCAGGAGCAGGAGGAGGAGCAGGAGCAGGAGCAGGAGCAGGAGGAGGAGGAGGAGGAGGAGGAGGAGGAGGAGGAGGAGGGCGACCCCGAGGCGTGGCCTGGGCCCCACTGGCCGATGTACCCCCCTAGATGGGGATGCAGACCGTTCCTTTCGGGGTTTCGAGGGGTGCATCATCCCCAGCTGGGGTGGTAGTTTGCCGGGGGTCTCGAAGGAGATGAGGACGGGGATGGGGGTCGGTTAAACGATTCTGACCCCCCCCCGCGCGTCCTTCTCGTCCTCCCCCCGCCCCCCCCCGCACCCCGCAGCCCCGCCGCCAGCCGCGCCGTGCCCGCCGCCCCCGGCTGCCTCTCTCGCGCAGGCCCCTCGCTCCCACCCCCTCCGCCTCCCCTGCCTCCCCCCTCCGCCCCTCGGTCTCCCTCGGCCCTTCCCTTCGACCTGCGCCCGCCCTCCTTTCCCCACGCCGCCTCGCCCCCGGCCCGCCTCCGCCTGACAGCCCCCCCCCCCCCCCTCCTCCCTCCACCCCCCCCCCGCTGGACGCCACGCATCCTCGCCTTCCCGCCCTTCCTCTCCCCGGCCCTCCTCTCCTCCCATCCCGCCCCCCTCCCTCCCATTCCCTCACGCCCTCGCGCCCTCGCCCCAAAATCTCCTCCCCTCCCCTCCCGTTCTCTCGCCCCCTCCCGATCCTTGTCCCGCCTCTCCTGTTCCTCTCTCCATTCCTCTCCTTCCCTCTCCCTCCCCCCTCTCCTCCCCTCCGCCCCACTCCCCCCCCCCAACCGCCCAGATCCGAGCGAACGCGCCTTTCCCGTGCTTTCATGAGTTTGTCAAGAAATTCCTCAAGCTGTCCAATCTCTCAATATTCGTCTCTACAAAATCATTCAACTGGCGCCGATCCTCGTTTGTGAAGAAACGGAATGTTCGAATCGGCGCCATGTGCACAGCAGAGTTAGGAACAACTCGCACTTGTGCGTTCACAGAGGTATTGACCTCGCCTTCGGGCAACGCGCAACTGGGCCAACAGTCTCTCTCCAGATTCAGAAGCCGCGCGCGCAACTCACCATTTGACACGGCGCCTGCTTCGAGATGTAAAGCATCTTTGAGGAGCCTCTGCAGCCGGCTATCCAGCATTCTGTTCTCGCCATCAGAATAATCTGAACATTCCTCCATGTCCTGTCGAATTATTTCTATTGCGTTGTGTTTCACTCGCTTCCAAAGCGATAAACCTTCGTCGCTAAACATTTCTGCCAACTGATAATTCCCGAAACGGCCAGAGACATACACGGAATTGTCCAAGGACTGGGGCCCGTTGGTATCTTCGCCAACCAGAGCGACTGCCTGCAAATAGCTTCGAAACTCGCCGCCGGTCGCACCCCGAAAGCTCACAAACAATTCCGCCAACGCCTGATGCATGTCGGGCGCGTAGCCATGAAACAGCATACCTTTGTCGCCATAGCCGTCGTCATCCGCAGAGCCGCTGCACACGTGCATCAGTTCTTCATCGCTCATGGCCGCAATCCTCTGACTCTGCATTGAGACACCACGGGTGCTGTAGTAGTGCAGACAGCTCTCGCCGATCTCGCGGTGCGCGACTGACATGCTGCAGCTCAGCAGGTCTCGACCCTCGAACTGTGCAAGGCTCTCGTCGTCATCGGCTGGAATTCCCGGAAGACGCTCAAGGAAAAGAGACTTGATGATGAGCGCGAGAGTGGCGAGGCCATCGCTGTGAGCGCCATCTAAGGGTTGCCAATCTGGCTGGCGGTGCAAAACGGCTGGAACATGATAGAGACCTGCATTCTCATCACCATACAGATTGATCATCTGTTCGCGCTCATCGGGTGCGAGTAAAAACCAATTGACAATTTGGCGAAACATGCCAAACGAATTTACCGATGTCAGGACGCAGGGGATTCGCTGACGTGCCAGGTAAGACTGCAAGCTGAGGATGCGGGCCAAAGGTGGTGGATCTGCGTCGACACGAACGGTGGATTGCAGACTGATGAACTCCTTGCTGCCATGAAGATACCAATGCATTCTAAAATCCAATGCGTCGCCAAGGTCAGCTCCATCTGGGGCAATATACGTTAAGAAGGCGTCATCTCGCCAGTGCGGGTACTGGATGCAAGCTTCTGCACAGGATAGCTCTTCAACACTATGCGAAGCCCGTCGCGCCATAATACTCAAAGTTTCCAGGCTGGCGGTGTCTCCGTTCCAAACAGCATCCCAGAATTTGGCATTGTTGTTGCCCAGTTCTGAAAGAACATCGTTGGCGATGCCAGCAACAAACTCCACTGTCGGCGTGTTGCCTGTCGAATCTTGTGGGGGGTACGCAGACATGACGTTTGCCAGCACAGTACTTTTCTCATTATAAGCTTCCACCAGATCAAACTGCAATGGTGCTCTGCTTGTAAGCCGAAAGACTAATACAACTACTTCGTGGTCATCGCTGGCCTCGCCTAGGACAGACGCATTGTACTGCCACAACTTCGAAACAACTTCGCGCCAATACATCTTCCCAAACGCCTTGTACAATACTCGCTGTACAGGTACGAGTTGATCGTCTTCCCGGGAGGGATAGCTCAACTCGCGCAGAACACTTTCAGAACCATCCAAAGCAAACGAGCCCTGTGCGTCCTTGTCTTCTTGAGATTCCAGCAGGGTCTTCACTCTCTGCACCAACGCCAGTTTGAACTCCAACTCAAGACATACAACATACGTGTGCAAAAAGAACTGTCGTTGACTCTCATCATAGACTATTACATTTGAGCGACGACAAGAGACGGGTCCTACGCGAGAAAACGTCAAACCTTACGCCGCGGCTTACGCGGGCTGCCAATGCGGCACAACGAGTGCAAAGGAGGGCGCTTACACGGGAAACTCACGAGCAAATGTCCACGCAGTCGGCCCCGTTGTCTTCCGTCGCGCATGTGAGCTCTCGGTCCAGAGGATGGCCGACGGGTCTTCTAATGACCCTGGCGACGCGAGGACACCATCCAGAGTGGCACCAACTCCTTCCGCAGGATTGCGCGCAGAAGCCATGACAAGGGCCGGGTGCCGTCTGAGCCCAGAAGACACAAAGACTGCCTCATATGCAACGCGGGCACGCGGCGATTCTAGAGGGCAC